TCCCATCTTTGTTTTAGTTCTGGGCTGACATAGAGTCCAGGGGCCATGCTTTCTGGGGTTCCTCCAGTCTCAGTCAGACCATTAAGTCTGGTCTTTTTACTAGAATTTGAGTTCTGCACCCCACCTGTCTCCTGCTCCATCAGGGACTCTGTTAAATCTTGTGGGAAGAAAAGTTAGGTCTGCTTACAAGATTGGACCTTGGCTGGCGTCTGGGAACTTGGCTGGCAAACAGGTCCTTACACTGATATAAAACTTCCCCAAATGATAAGAGTGGCTCTTATCATAGTTGCCTAAACTGTGTACAAACAATGTGGTTTATATGGAAAACCTGTTTTCCTCCTGGAAGTCGGAAACTTTGTTACATGCTAGGCAGAGGGTGCCTATGTGAGCAGCTCCCAATAAAAGCCTTGGGCACACCGAGTTTCTAATGAGCTTCCCTATTAGGTAACTCTTCACATGTTGTCACAATGCATTGCTGGAGGAATTAAGAGGGTCTTGGGCAAATCCACTGGGAGAGAACTCTTGGAAACTTGTACTTGGCTTCCTGTGTCTTCATTCTTCTTTCCTTTATCCTTTTGCTGATTCTGCTTTGCATCATTTTGCTGTAATCTCAGCTGTGAATATGACTATGGGATGAATCCTGTTGAGCCAAGGTTCAGAGTTGCCAACAAACAGCACGACTTACACACGTAGGCACTGACAAAACAGCGCTCTACTCATGTAGGGAAGGGACAGAGCAAGGTCAGCTTCACTAGCAGCTGCTGGTCTCCCACAGCCAGTGAGTCATTTCCCGTGGGTGGCACAGGGCAGATATGCTGCACCAGAAACAGATATAGAAGTGGGATGGGCCAGGTATCATATAACACACACACTTAGTCAAGCAGTTCCTGGGAATATTGAGATATGGTCAGGGCAGCAGGGGAGGGATGTGCTGATAGCCCACCTGCTGCTATGCGGTGTGTTTTCAGTTAAGGTGCCCCAGGAAAAGGGCATCAGCCCACACTCTCATCCCATCCAAGAAGCCAGGCTGATGCATCTGGTCCTAAGCCCAAGGTTCATTTGTGGATCACAGGGGAAGGCGGCAGGCTGCACTTGGACTGCCCTTTCCACAAGTCCTGTGAGTCCTCCTAGTGAATCACCGAAACTGGGGGTGGTCACGAGGAACTCCTGACACACCTCAGAATAATCCCTAACTCTTTCTTTTCCTCACCCTCTATATTCAATTAATTACCAATTATATTAGTTCTACCCGTAAATATTTTAGAAATATATTCCATATTCTCCATCCGCACTACCTTGAGACTAGAACTGTGACTTCATCTGGGCCCACTGTGCTTCCTCTCCCCAAAACATAAAACCTTCAGTGTGGAGGACAGCACCAAGCCAACACGATCAGGGAGATAGCTTATAAGGTTTCCAAGGAGTGCCTGGTGGAGTCGAACTTTGGACCTTTTGCTTAGCAGCCTGAGCTCTTAACCACTACGCCACCAGGGTTTCCATGGGGATAATAGTAGTGTCTATTTCACAAGGTTGTTGTCAGGAGCAGATGAGAAAATACATGTAAACTTTCCATTACATATGTGAAGTGTGCAGCACATAGTAATCCCTTAATAATAATATTATTATTATTATATATAATAGCAGCTTTATTAATTAATAATACCTATTGTTATTAGGAGTCCCTGGGTGCCACAAACGGTTAAATGCTCGACTATCAACTGAAAAACTGGCAGCTGGAACCCACCCGGAGGCGCCCTGGAAGTCAGGCCTAGCAGTCTGCTTCTGAAAGGTCACAGTTATGAAAACCCTATGGAGCAGGTCTATTCTGCACACATGGGGGTGCCATGAGTCAGAATCAACTCAATGGCAACTAACAACATTTATTATTAATAATCTATTAATGTTATTATTAACAATCTGCAGAGTCCTTGCCTGGTCACTACCTATGAAGCTCAGCCAGTTCTAGCGCCAAAAGCACTGTTATGAAACTAGAACTCAGGTTCTCACCCCTATAATTTGCAAGTCCCCCTCAAAATGCAGGCATCGCCGTCAGGTTCCAAGTAGGGTGGTAGCGTGGTTATTTGGGGGTGCTCTTTTCCTCTGACTGGATGCCCCTGGGTGGGTTACTGATGAGATGGAGCTTTCTTGTGGCTGCAGAGGGTGGATGGAGAAGGGGAGGCAGGCAGACAGCCATGGAGGTCTACAGACTCCTGATGTTACTGCTGCAGATACCTGTTTCCTAAACAAGACATTTGGCAGCATCACTGGGTGTTTCCCAAGAGGAAGCTACGTATTCCAGAGCCAGGCCCACCACAGACCATAAAAACAGAAATTCAGTGTCTTTAGTGACTATCCCAGGAGTTCTGCCTGAATGAAAGGTCTGTCGGGTTCATTACGAAAGTCCTCCTACAGTAGACGTAATAAAATCACAGGTCCGTTAGTAAAATAAAATTTACGATCTATCCAGGATTCCAAATATCAATGTATTTATCAACAGGGCTGACTTATTCACTCCAAAAATTCCATGCTATTAAAAATCACAGAAAAATAACTTCTAATTAAAAACAAATAGACAAAAAGCAGCACAGGCAAATTAGGTACTATATTGACTTTATTTTGAATTACAGCATGAAATATGTCAAAAACAAATGAAGTAATGAAAACCTTTTGTAGTTCAACTGAACAGGTGATCTGCATAGGAACGGCTCGCTTTAAATCCCAGGATGCAGAGCTAACAGAATTGTGAATTAGATTATAACACAGAGTAAGAATCATCTACCTATGTGCAAACTAAAATGCAATTTAATAAATAACAGACCTTTTGTTCAGTCTTTGCTGGGTGATTAATATAATCATCTTCCCTGCTATGGATAATATCCTCATCTCATCTAGATTAAATGTGATTCTTCTAAACCAGCCATCTCTTACCTACAGTAAGAGGGCTTCCATTAAATATTGTTAAAGCTACTGGATTCGCTTTTGTGGCCCTAATATTATTTGAGAACATTATTCACTGAAAACAATCTAAGGACTAGGCCAAGGACGACATGTTTTAAGGAAAGCGTTAGATTTGTGATTCATCCCATTTATCTCGTGGGACTTTGTTATCAGTACCCATAATGCTGTTTTGATTTTTATCAGCGATGAGCAACCATTTTTTGGCATAGGGGCCAACTAAGGGAAAAAATACAAAGCATTTACCCGTTGCCGTTGAGACTCGTAGCACCCCATAGGACAGAGTAGAACTGCCCTGTGGGGTTTCCAAGGAGTGCCTGGTGAATTCGAACTGCCGATCTCTTGGTTAACAGCCGTAGCTCTTAACCACTATGCCACCAGGATAAAGCATTTAAGGCCATGTTATTTTCCTCTTCAAAATGAATATAGCTTTATGAATTCCCATGGAGGCGGGAAATGTGTCCTTGTACAATTTTGTTGAGTAAAAGGATGTCAGTGAGGAAACTGGCACTGTTTTTAGCTACCAAAATATTTCTATCTGGGTGTGTTAGCAACACAGACAAAATTTCTAATCGTCTACCCTGAAATTAGATTGTAGGCTTTATGCATAGCTAGTCAGACTATAGGCACTTCTGGGGACTCTGAGTTGCTCATTACTGATTTATACATTATACTAAATACATAAAGTTCTTGGACAAAACAGGCTTTGCTTGTGATATTGATCAAAACAGGCTGACTTTTGTTGGATTCATCATAACAAATATTTTCAGAGATTATTTTCTAATTTCAAAAATTATACTCTATCATTTACTGACTTACAGATAATGCTTTCGGTACAACTGCAAATTGTTTTAAAAAAAAAAATCTGAGATTACAACATTTCCCTCTATCTTCACATGGACCACTGTCTTCACATAGACCATTGGCTGGAAACCAGCACACAACACGAACAAGAAAACTGAAGACGTGCTTAACAACAGAAATACCATCAGTGTTTACTGTGGTAGGTTATAGAAAGAAGGTTTAACCTGTGTGTGTGCATTAGGCACTGACTGAGGCATTTAGACACCACTGATATAAAGTGCACTGAATATAAATTTTGACCCCACAAAAGAATAATTCAATAAAACCCAGGTATCCTTCTTGGACTTACTCAGTCCAGAAACACGCATAGATGGATGCTTATTAAGTGCTAGATAACAGACTTCTATTATTTAGACTCCTGCAATAATAACAGCAACACACTGTACTTGCATATATCATATTTTATCCAAGGACCTCAAGGTCATTGCATCAAGCAATGTGGCGTTGAAGTTTAAGATTCCTCAGCATACTAAGTCTACTTATATACGACATGGGAAACAGATTTCCAAACAGTAGATCCAAAATAAAAGCTTAAAGAGACAAGCCTAAATTTCTTGTGGCTTGTAATTTTCTGAATTTCTACATCTGCCACTATTATCCTAACACACCTACAATGTTGACTCTAAGTAAAAAAGGTTTTTTAACGCCAGGAATACGATGAGGATCAACTAACAAATACACAATTTGTCTTTTTTATAGTATGACACCCCATCTTTGAAAAGCACATGGTGGAATGTCAGAAGTGGCTTTTTAACAATGTATGTTTACACATCGATCCATAATACTTTAGCGAAGATCCCTGGGTAGAAGAAAACATTTTACACTGGAATGACATAGATATAAATAATATGATGGATCTATATATTTTTGCACATCTACATTTAACACAAAAGCAAAAGTGCATCAATTTCTGTATTGAAGTCAGACTTTCAGTCTCTTACAAGAACAAGCTTTATATATCCTTGCCTAGCGCTGAAAACCTTGCCCATCTTAGAGTTTAACTGAGGGACTCAAGTTAGCATAGTTAAAATAAGTTTCTGTGAAATCCATGAGCATGCCAGGCCCCACTGGAGCTGAGTTACAGGCCAGTGTGAGAAGCCCATGGTTAAATGAGGGAAAGGGGCCCAGAACGGTTTTGTTCTCCACTCAAAGCACAAAGCGCAACTCTTCTCTCTCAGGGTGGGAATTCTGGGCACCTTCTTTCTTAAAACAATTTCTGACAGTATTTGAAAATCAGTTTCTTTTTGGACAATGTGGTTAAAGTTTCTATCTTTCCATCAAATATGGAACTTAGCTCTTCCTGTGAGCTTCTTTACTTCGGAGGAGACGCAATATACGTTCATTTGTGGTCAGTTCTGCTGGAAGTTCATTGGCCTAAAAGAAGAAAAGACAGGTATTAGTGAATTCCTGCAGTGGGGACAGAGCCTGTGTGTATTACCAGCATGTAGCACAGCATGTGGTGTCTAGTAGGTGTTCAATAAGTGTTTGTTGAATGAGCAAATGAAGGCCAAGAATACTCCCTGAAGAGTCCTGGGAAGCTGCTGGAATCCCAGCACCCTTATTTCTGGAAGTACCATCAAAGTGGCTGGCTTCAACGGTGGACAAGTTGGCAGGTGGGAGATTCCCTGGCAGCTATTCCGAGGTCACTAAGGGCTTCTGCAATATGATGCTCCAACATGAGCAGCCCACATGTGTATTTACAGTTTTAGGGAGGGTCTAAATTCCAGCATTTTGCCCACTGGAAATCACTCATAACCATTATTGCTGAGATTCCAGGAGACACACAAGGAACTGCGTTTTTCAATACAAGGGTACTAACGTGTTCCCCTGCCTTAATTCAGTACCAGGTAGTTCACCAACAGAAACTGATCTCTTTAGGAAGTCTGTGTGTAAGGTCTAAAGACAAGAGGACAATTGTGATTTCAACTGGCTTATCACACAGCCAGGCCGGCTAACTGAAAACAAATCCAAATATCTTCAGGAAGAGATCATCAGAAATGTCTTTAAGCTGTTCAATGGCAGGAATGGGGAAATAATAACTCTACATGCTAAGTGGAATGAAAGAAAGATACCCTTGTCATATTGTTTAACTGGTACTTCTTAATGGTTTCTTTTTAAAATGTCATGACAATTATGCTACATGTTTTTGTTTTTATTATTAAAAAATTTAACACAGTAATAGATGCTTATGAAAATTCAGAGTAAACAGTTATAGAATAATGTGAAAGTTGCTTTTCACACCTCCCCTCTATTAACAGGTGCCAATCCCAATTCCTCCTTCAAAAGTTAGTGGTTTAGGAAGAAACTAGTCCTACAGGACAGTCTACACAAACCTGGGCTTCATCTACTCTGAGACTAGATGATGCCCAGCTACCACTACTGACCATTCTAATTAGGGCCAAGATAGACGGACCCTGATAAAATGGGAGAAAAAGGTGGAACAGAACATCAAACTTGTTAAAAAAAAAAAAACAGACTTACTGGACTGGGTGAGACTGGAGGACTCCCTGAGATTATTGCCCTGAGATACTCTTGAAACCTTGAACTGAAACTAACCCTAAGGTCACCTTGTAGCTAAATAACAGATTGGCTCACAAAATAATGAATATCACCCGTAAGTACTGTGCTCCTTTAAAAAATCACCTATGAGATCAAATGATCAACAATTACTTTAAAACAAACATGAGAATGTAAGGGAGCAGGGAAATTAGATTAATGGAAATGGAACAACCAGAAGGGAGTAATGAGAATGTTCATGCATCATTAAAGAATGCAACCAACGTCACTAAATAATTAGTGTAGAAACTGTTGAATGGGAACCTAAACTGCTATGTAAACTTTCACCAAAAAACACAATAAAATATAAAAAAAAAAAAAGTTAGTAGTTTAGTGTGTTTTCTCAAGACGTTTCCTAGGCTACTCTCTTCCTGCAATCTGCACATCTGACTGCTCAAGCAGGTGTTGGACAGGAGGAAGAACAATGACAATCCCTTTCTCTATTGTTATTGTGCATCCTTCCATCTCCACAGAATTACAAAAACTGTGGGTTGGTTTTGTCACAGTGGTGGGCATTCCTATTAACAATACAAAAGCAACAGTTTCCTCATGTAGCCATAAGAAATTCTCAAGATATGAGCAGCCAATTTATAGGGGATGGTGATAAACTACCAAACTTTGACATTTTTAGGGTATTCTTTGATGATAAAACACTCCTAACACTTAGTCTCCACAACTGCTGTCTCCTTCCCCCCACCCTCCATCGAGGATGCTGCGACACCATTAACTAAAAACCACCGATGATACTGTTGTTGCCATGATTCCCTGGGTCCAAATGTACTACTGCTCACTAATAATCTACATATAGCAACCCTGCACGCCATTACTATACGTAACTATGAAGATAGTGACTGGAGCCAGAGAGATGCTTATTCCTGGCTTAGGAAGACACGGTCTTATCTCTTTGCAGAGGGGCTCAATGGAGTTAAAAGACCATAAAGCTGGTACCTTGTTTCTCAGGGCTGGGTCCGCCCCTGCTTCCAGGAGCAGAGCTACTGTTTTAATATTACCGCTGAGCACAGCTGCATGGAGCGCCGATGTCCCATTCTAAGAGAAAAGACAACTTGGGTTAGGAGTGAGCTCACAGATGTCTGCACTTAGACATCATAAACCAGTCTGAGTGATGAGACTAACGTCAGAGCCTTACTCTTCCTTATCTTTCCTCTTATATACTTAAATACTTTAGAACTTGTGGTGGGAAACACGCACACCCACACACAACACTGTGCCAAACATCTGCTTTCTCTTCAAGAACACACATCCAGCCACTGTATTTTAGGGGAACCATTTCTGGCAAGCCTGGAGGAAGGCCTGGCTAGCCAACGGGTCAGCCTGTTAGCCCAGCTACAGATACTCCTCTGCTCACGCAAGTACCAAGAGAGTGACCGTGAAGTTACAGGGCTTATGAGTAAGAGTGCACAAGGTGAGAAAAATCCCATGATCTCTGAGTTGGAACATTTCTCAACACAGAATGGCTTAGTGGATGGGTTGCTGAGGTTTTATGAAATTGACCGCAAATATTTATTGAAATAAGAAAGCCAGATTCTGGGTGGGGAGGGTAAGAGAATATAACAAAACTAATCTAAGAACAATGGGTAGACATGACACCTGTTCCAGAGGGGACATATGTCCGTGAATAGGACCTAAATGCAAGTTTGGTTTCCAAATTAACTATTTATAATAAAATAAAATAAAAAAAACTCTGATTTTGTAACAGAGTAAAATGTCACACTCAGAGGAGAATTCCAGCAAACTGGCATTTTTCTACATTTTGCTTTTATAATATGTACAGTAATTCACTGATCTGGCAATATTTCACTTACCTCAACCTCACCAACCTGTCCATTTCACCTATGTGTGACATGGCCAAGAAATCAAAAACCAAGCCAAAAAAAGGGCTCTTTGAAATGAAACTACATATTGCAAAGTCCATTTCTAAAGCCCATTACTTTTATTCATAGAGTTTACTCTCATAGACTATTTAGTCTTCCTTTACAAACAGTTTTAACAAGTGCAGCTTTTTGGTTTCCAAGCTCATGGAAGGTTAGAAGCACTTACTGGGGCAGGGGAGAGAGGCCAGTACCCTGACATCAGCAGTTATGTATTAGCTGACAGCAAGAATGGAGTTTAAAAATAAAAACAGCAGACACACTGTCTCCAAACCCTCCCTGGGGTCTTTCAAAGCCAAGTAGACATTATTCAGATCAACAGACCCTGAGGCACAGCCCAAAAAGTGCTCAATGCGACTGTGTCAAGTTCAGAACAGGTTTGGTATCCTGTTTTAGAAAACCGGAGAATATATATCAGGGACTAGCAAACTATGGCCAAATCTAGCCTGCCATCTGTTTTTGTATGTCCTGCATGCTAAGAATTGTTTTTACATTTTTAAATGGTTGAAAAAAAATTAAAAGAATACTTTGGGACATGTGAAAATATGAAATTCCATAAACACAGTGTCCGTAAGTAAAGTCTGCTTGGAACGCAGCCACGGTGGCTCACTTAGGCATTGTCCATGGCTGCTTCAGCGCTACAATGGCAGAGATGAGTCATTGCGACTGGCCTGCAAAGCCGAAAATCTTTACTCTCTGGCCCTATACAAAGTTTGCCGACCCCTGGTATATACTGTAGTTTTATTTTAATCCAAAATGATAAAAACTTAGAGAAGAGTTTCAGGGCTCTGTTTTGTGGAAGAAGCATCCAGATAGATGTTTGAGGTTTGTTTTACTTCATCGAAGGTAATGAGGCAGACTAGTTCTGTGCTCTAGAGAATGAAGAGAAGGACTACGAGTGTCTGTTCCTCTTTGCTGATTTCATGAGTCCTCCAAATGATATGAATACAGCTTTCTTTCCAATTTAGCGATTTCATTAAACAAAAACCAAAACCAAACCAGTTCCCCTGGAGTCGATTCTGACTCATGGAGACCCCATGTGTGTCACAGTAGAACTGTGCTCCATAGGGTTTTCAATGGCTGGTTTTTGGAAGCGGATCACCAGGCCTTCCTCTTCTGAGGTGCTTCTGAGTAGACTGAAACCACCAACCTTTTGGTTGGCAGCAAGTCCATTACCTGTTTGCACCACCCAGGGATTCCTAGTGATTTCATTCCTGCTGTCTAATTCTTCCTGGAAAACTCGGTACTGACGGACTCTGGTTCAGTCTTTTACCACCTTCTCATTTCTCACATGGATCTCCAGAATCTAGAAGCTGTAGGTGTGTTCTTTCAAGACTACAACTAAACATGTTAATCATACCCAAATTCTACTGCAGACCCCAATTATGGACCTCTTAGTTTGTACCCTCTCTCTTTTGCAGATCGGTAAAATTTCTCTTTAGGCCTTACCTTCAAAATACCAAGGGTAGGTGAGAACTTAAGCAACTCCTCTATAACATCACTGTACCCTTTGTTGGCTGCTTTCAGTAACGCTGTTGCGCCATCCTGAACAGAGAGAGGAAGATAAAAGCTGATCATTAATGTGTGTGTGTGCTGACTGAGAGCCAGACGGTAGTTGTGAACTGGGGGCATATCTGTCAGAACCAGGCAAGACGTATAAACTAAAGCACAGACCTGCAATGTCTCCTAATCTAGATGCATTTTACAGCATATTAAGTAGTTAATTCTGCATGAAAAAATATCAGACAAAATATGTGGCTTATATTATCTTAGAAGCCTGCCATTTGGGAATTCATAAGCCTCCAGTCCCTCAGAACACTGAGTGAGGCAAAAGGGGAATTTCAAGAGCATATTTTTAGGACACTGACAGACTAAAGAGGCATTCTAAGCCTGCAGTTCATGACTCAGGAGAAATCAGTTGTTGAACTGTTTTTAATAATTTAATGTTGAACTGTATTCACTCTTTTAAAATTTTAAATGTGCCTTTTCTTTTTTTCTTCCCTTGCATGCAACCTTGCCCCAGTCTGCCCAAGCTACCTATTTTCCTGTGTGTGTGCTGAGGGGTACTGATTGAAATCTGTTAAAAGTAGGCAAGGACAAATTAAAAAATTAATATTCAACTGTGTCATCAGATTTTGTCCTGAGAAGAGACTTTCCAGACTCCTTTTTATCCGCTGTAACACACTGCTCACTGTGTCTGGAAGACCTAGCTCGCAGAGGTCCCCTCCAGTCAAGGGGACATGCCACCGGCCATTACTGTTTGGCTGGAATCAGGCAGAAGAAACAGAGTGGGAGAGAGAACAGTGCGGAGGTTGGTAATGTATCTTCTGATTTCCCTTTTCTGGGCTTAGACTTGGAGAGGGGGCAGGCGGGTCAGAGAAGTGAGGGAAATACTAGGACAAAGTGGTCACACACAGTGAAAAACAACCGAACAGCAGAATATGGTCAGGCAGAAGAGTCTCCCCAAGCTGCCCTCAGTTCCTACAAGGCAAAGGGCTTGCTGAGGCAGAATTCAGTGACACCACCAGAGGCTAGATGGGGACAGTGGGATGATGGAGGGTGTGGCAGGAGATGCAGGAGTCTGCAGCTGGGGGAGCTAGGAGCACAACGGGGAGCACTTCCTGGCCCAAAACAACAGACTCCGCCTGCACTGCCCAGCTGCAGACCTTCGCAGCAGAGGCCAGCAGGAGATGCAGCCCGGACGGACCAGTGGAAGTTAGGGAAACACAGTCCAGGGCAGCCTGAGCCCCAGATCTCCCGATCCTCCCCCCAGGTCTGAAGGGAAGTCTCCACCATCTCCAGTTCACTCAGGAGTTATCTTAGGTGCAGGAGGATCTTTATGGAATTGAACATTTTCTTTCCTTAGAGACTGTGCAGCACTTGCTGAAAGTACTGGGTCACACCAAGTTTCAACTGAATTGGACATTTATTTGTTTCCCTTCTAAATATCAGGTAGAGGTTGGGAGAAAACCCAGGTGAGTTATAGACAACACAGAGACACACTTTCTCTGCATCTCTAAGCTGAGTCACATTCTGGAGCTTCTTTATGTGCATTTTCAACCTTGAGCCCACACGATGAACCTCTTTCATTGGGAAACTCACGTTCCGGGCTGCGTCCCGCTCAGCTCCACGCAGCAGCATCACCCTCACCACCTCACTGTGGCCCATCTGCGATGCAATCCACAGTGGTGCCGTCCCGTCCTAGGGGGAGAAGCCAGGGCGGCCCGCTGTGACATGGAGGCTTGGACCCCTGACTCATACAGACCTTCTTTACACCAAGTTTCTGAAACTTAAAATCTGGGTAAAGGGCTCCTTGACAACCAATCACACATTTTCCAGGTAATTCAGACAGTGGGTGGTACTGATAAAACAGGAGGGTGTTGTTCACTGATCTATAACCACAGTTGCCGTCAAGTGGATTCCAACTCATGGTGACCTCATGTGTGTCAGAGTAGAACTATGCTCCACAGGGTTTTCAATGGCTGATTTTTCAGGAGCAGATTGTCAGGCCTTTCTTCCAAGGCACATCTGGGTGGACTCAAACCACCAACCTTGCCGTTGGCAGCCAAGCATGTAAACTGTGCACCACCCAGGGATCCCAGCTGATCTATACAGACTGGTATCTTGCACCGGGAGGGCTACTTGGGTAAATGCCAATATTCAGCTTTTGGCTTATAAAAACAGCCATTTTATGGTAGACTCTTTTACCACGGAGTGTTTTATAGGACTGGTGCTCCACGGAACCCTGTATTTCTCCCTCAGACTCTGTAGTTTGTTTACTTAGCTGGTGAGTCACACTCACAGTAACATGCACATCACAACACACCCTGCTTAGTGGGGACCTTCATGCGGGGTGGGCAGTTTCCTTTGAGGCGGGGTCTGAGGGCCAGAGACTAAAGACAAGTCTTCTACTCCTCTACTGTGGTGTCCAAAATTCTCCACATCCACACCATTGTTTAAGGGCTTCACAGTAATTTTACGTGGAATGTGATACTGTGTCTTCTGGGAGGTGATGACATCAGCTAGTTAAAGCATTTTTGGTAATATTTCCTGTGTATTATTTCCCCACAACCATTTTTCTGTTAATACTGGGCCATGAGGCTGAGATGTACTGCTCCAGGTGGAAAGGATTTGAGCATAGGGTGGTTCCTGCCTGAGAGAACAGAAAATGAAAACCCTTCTCGTGCTGGGGGCGGGGGGGGATGAGCTAGACAGGGTGGGAGAAGTCAGAGGTCAAGTGCGAGTGTCCGCGCTCTCCTCTCCCTCTGGGTTGAATCTGGGAAGGGGACAGTAAGCTTGGGGTGGTAGAAACATCCAAATAAATTGCAGGGTACTCCAGATGGGGAAGGATTTTCTCCTCTTGAGATGAAGCCCAGAAAAACTGCAAGCCCTGTAGAGAAGCTAAGTTCTCAGATGGTGCCCGAGAGAAAAAAGAGAAATATCATGGGGGTCACCTGGGCCAGTGGACCTGAGATCGAACTCAAGTCCTCATGACCCATATCACTCGGCCTCTGGATGTCCAGGCATCCTGCCTGCATGTGGGAAATCACAAGTGCTGAGGGAAACAGTAGCCTACAGTAAGCCTGGGGTTGGGAAGAGAAGGTCACTGAGGGTCAGGACCTCAAGCCCAGAGATGACGGCAGGGCTGGCACGATGGTGGGACCAGGTGTGTCTCTGTGGGCACCAGTGGAGGATGCCTGGGGACTGCAGAGTCAGCGTAAGGACCAGCCATTTGTCTCTCTAGCCCACCCCAATGCCAGGGTAAGAGTCTGACAAGTTGGGTCACTTTACAGAGGAGGGAGAAGAATCCAGAATAGACTAAACTTAACCTCTGAGGTAATGAAGATGATGTGGCCCAAAGGATTGTTTTCACCAGATAAGACTGAATTACCCATCAGTGGGAATGGGGGCTGGAAGGTAAGTAAGATGATTCAGTTATAGAATAAAAAGTTCCATTTCTGCTGCAGGGTATAATTTCCATTCCATTCTACTAACAACAGCAGGCAGAGGGTTATTATCCACTGCTGTCCTGGCAAAGGGACAGAGTAGGACGATGTTTGAGTGGGGGGTAGAGGATGGCAATCAGGAGCTGGAGGACATCAACACCTCGGTGTCTTGGAAGAGATACGGCAAGACATGATGAAACAAAGGATGAGGAAGGCTGAAAACAACCTTCACCTACTTCATAATGTTTCCAAGCACCTGTTAGACCTTGAATCTGAATATTATCTATCATTCCAACCAAACCAAACCTGTTGCCATCGAGTCGATTCCAACTCATAATGACCCTACAGGACAGAGTAGAACTGTCCCACAGGATTTCCAAGGAGCGCCTGGTGGATCTGAACTGCCGACCTTTTGGTTAGCAGTCGAACTCTGAACCACCGCGCCACCAGGGTTTCCTATTTATCATTAGCAATGATAAACAGTTCCTTAATTTGTACTTTTAGTTTAGAATACAATACACTTCCACATTCGTTATTTAATGATTCTCCCAATTCAGGATTCAATCATTTATTCATGCATTCAACCAACCAACAATTACTGAACATTTTCCAAGTCTCAGGCAGAGTGCTTAGGCACAAGACATGGTCTCTGTTCTCAAAGGAACTTAGTCTAGTGGAGAAAAGACATGAGATCAGATGCGTATCAGTAGGATATGGTGCTACAATAAGGGTATTATGGACAAAGATGCACAAGACGAACCAGGTGAGGGGTCATTTTCTGTGGGGGAGTTGCGGAGTCGGCTTCCCACGTAGAATGATACCTGAGATGGGTCTTGAAGGATAACGTGGATTCTGCCAGGTGTATTCCTGGTAGAAGGATGAGCACAACAGAGTCACCGTGGCTTGGACAGGCTCATTCAGGCATTGTGAGGAATTCAGGTGGCTACAGCACAGGAGGTGGGGTGGGGGTACATGGAAGCAGGACAGGTAGTCTGGGCTCCAGAAAGTCCTAAAGTAGTGCAGTGTTTTACAGAAATGACCACTTCTCCCTGCTCGCCTACTCTGGGTTCATTTTATTCTTTGTCGATATCTCTATGAGAGGGCAGGTAGGGAAAGGAAGCCCACAGCAGCAGGGCAGCCAGCCACCTGCTCCATGTGCCATTCAAGGCTTGGTTGTTACTAGTAAGATTATGTTAATTGACACTAATACGTGGGAAAGTGCTGGAGAGGTGCTATTTGGGGAACAATTATTAATATTATTTGTTCAAAGCAATACTACTACTACTACTCAAATATTTATCATCATAATTGGAATAGTCATGGTAGGCAGAAAAAGTAGTCACTACCTCCTGGCTGTGAGACCTTAGGCAAATCACTCTGAGCCTCAGTGTCCTCTTCTACAAAAATATTAGCTTCACAGAGATATTATGGAATGAGAAAACATACATAACAGTGTTAAGCACAAGGACTGGCTAATATTAGATATCTACAAAATGGTGGAGTCACGTGGTAGTGCAAACGGTTAAAGTGCTCGACTGCTAATCAAAAAGGTGGAGGTTAGAGTCTACCCAGAAATGCCTAAAAAAGGACTAGTGATCCACTTACAAAAACTTGGCCATTGAAAACCCTATGGAGAGACACAGCCAAGATGGAGGAGTATTCAGACACTTCCTGTGGTCCCTCTTACAACAAAGACCCAAAAAACAAGTGAATTGATTATATATGACAATCGAGGAGCCCTGAACATCAAAGGCAAAGTTGAGGAACTGAACTGAGCGGCAAGGGGAGGGAGGCACGGTTCAGAAGCAGCGAGGAGTTGCCAGACCTGACCCAGAGGGAGCCAGCACACTTCAGGCAAGTTTGGCTGGCGTGCACGGTGAGGCAAGCAGTGATACTCGGGAGGCATTTTCTACACCGGGGGAGACCGAGTGGCAGAGAGTCTACTTGGGCCTCCAGAACCAGTGAAAAGCAGTGCTCAATCGGCAAAATATAAGTATGTACGTCTGACCTATTGTCCAGACCAAAAAACACCCTCTTTGGGAAAAACCTCTCCCCCATTTACCTGCCCACTCCCTGCTCTGCACAGGGTCCCAGGTCAGCTTCAGTAATTGCTGAGTTCCCTGGGCTGGAAGTAGGACCTGACACATGCCCTAAGCCATTCTCTCGGCCTTGGAGAAGGAATAAATTAACAAACAGGAGTAAATAATCTGCCAGCTCCCCTAAGCAGGGAACTCAGGGCAGACACAGCTCCTTTGCCTAGGCACAGGCATAAAGGGTTCACAGACTCTGAATGTCTTTCACTCCTGCATAGACCTGTGTGGGCCCATTTCAACAGAGTAGGCCCTCATTACCATAGTACAACAGGGTATATACCTGAAGCCTAACTTCAACTGTATCAAATATATGGTGAAGTGGTAGGTTCATGACATTTGACACTGTTCTGCCCATTAAGTGGCGTCTTCACCTACCCACATCAGGGGCCTGAGGGCTGGTGGCTCCACCCATACCACCTAGCCATCCACAACAGGGGCCCAAGAATAAGTGGTGCCTCCCAGTCTTTATAGCCAACAGCATTGAGTGCCCATAGTTCAACTGCAAAACCCACCCACCTACACGCTCTAGGGAACAAGCTCACGCTTTCCTCCCAGACATTCAGGGGCAGCCGTCAGCCCCCTGCCTTGCTCAGCGTGTGACCTCCTACTGCAGCCAGATATCTGTGCCTACACCAATCACCCCTGCCTGTCTAGGACTATAGGTGAGAGCCTGCACCACACACTTGGTGACTGACTACCTGGACACCTGAGCTGAATCCATACAGACTCCTGGGCTCACATACCTGGTAACAGATCTAACCACTTGGTGACAGGACATTAGAGCTTCAAAGGTACCAATAATCAAACTAGCTCACAAGAAGAGCCTATTTGGGCATATCAAAAAAAACAAGAAGCTAGGACACAGTAAGCAAATATAAAATAAATATAGTAACTTATTGATGGCTCGGAGACAATAGTCAATATCAAATCACATAAAGAGGCAGGCCATGATGGCTTCAGCAAGCTCCCAAAACAAAGAATCAAGAAATTTTCCAGAGGAAGTGAACTTCTTAGGAATTACCAGAGGCAGAATACAAAAGATGAATACACAGAACTCTTCAAGCTATCAGGAAGGAGATCAGGCAAAACACAGAACATGCTAAGGAACACACAACAAAGCAATAGCAGAACTTAAGATCAGAGAAGAGCATGATGACAAATT